CCTCCTCTGAAACTACTCCATGTCCTTCCTAAAATGCAGTATCCAGAACTGAACACAATCCAAGCCAAGCCAGCCATGTGCCAGGTGATCCCCTGAGCATGAGGGAGCACTAGAGCTCCCTATTACCCCTTTCCTTGAATTCGGTCAGCAAGCATTTATTAAACACATACTATGTACCAGACATTTCGGATGCGAAGGAGAGCAAAAATAATCCCTGCCATACGTCACTTATGCTCTAATGGGGAAGACATTCAGGTCTGTACGAGATATCATATACAGAGCAGATAGAAGGTAATTTGTGCCCACCCACATCTCTCCTGATATGGCCATCTCCTCTTTCTCTCCACAGGGAACATCCAATGGGCTTGGATCTATAGATGACATCGAAACAGGTAGAGTCTGGCAGATGGATGGGTGGGGGTTATTCTGTCGCAGGAGCAGGGAGGTCCAGAGGATAGGCCAAGAGACGTAGACTCAAGACTGTCTAGAGCTTGCCCTTGGCGAAGGTCCCACCGTTAGGAAACCTAGAACCTTGGGTTGATTTCGGGAAGTGACTCAGTCTTTACCAGCTCTTTACTATTCCCTACATTTTCTACTGGGGTCCTCCAGAGGAGAGGGAGGACTTGATATACCTGCCTTCTTAATCAAAAGCTCTGGCCCTAATACCCCGGTAGATGGTAGAGCAGATAGGATACTAGACTTGGAATCCGAAAGGATTCGAGTTCAAATCCTGCCTCAGATACTTATGCCTTGGGCAAACTGCTTTATCTCTCCGTGCCTCAGTTTCCTCACCTGCCAATGGGAATGATAATAGCATCTACCCCAGTTGTTGTGAGGCCCAGATGAGTTTATATATATGTACGTATGTATATAAAATGTATGCATGTATATATGTATTAGATATATACACAAATCTCAGTAACTAATCAATAAAAATAATATATTATTATAATAAATATATCAATAAAATTAGTATTATATAGGAAATCTTATGTACCAAGAGAAATGTACTACATGAGGTTTGAGGAGGAAAGTCATTATTTGCTAGGGGTATCAGAGAGGGCTTCCCAGGCTTGAAACCTTGGCGTCCTCCCTAACTTCTCTCATCCCTCACCTCGCCTATTTGACCCAATGCCGAGTCTTACCAATTCTGTCTTCCCCACATCTCAATGATTCTTCTCCTTTCATCTCACACATCCCTCACCATGGTTCAGACCCCCATTGCCTCTCCTGGTCTCCTGGTTTGCCTCCCTGATTCCAATCTCTCCTCAATGCAGCCCTTCTCCCACATGGCCGTCAAAATGAGCATCCTAAAGCAGCGGGCTGACCACATCACTCTGTTACTAAAGAAACTTCCCTCTTGTCTCTAGGCTATAGCAAAAATGATCCTTTGACATTTAAAATCCTTCACAATCTGGTTCTACTTTTTTTTTCTTGCAAGGTTTCACATTCTTTTGCTTTCTGCACTTAAGTTTTAGCCAAGCTTGTCTAAATGTTATTTCCCAAAGTTCCACATCCCTCTTCTCCATGTTCTCCTTCCTCACCTTTACGTCTTCAGATCCCAACCTCCCTTCAAGGCCTGTTTCTACAGGAAGCCTTCTCTGATACCACCCCCAGTGGTTAATGCTTCACTGTCCCAATATGAAATTACTTTGTTTTCACTATGACTACATAAGGAAGTTGATCTTTGACCAGTCCCCCAACCCAGAAGGCCAAGACTGGAATCACAAAGTCATCAGTCATTACCTGATATCTATACATCTTTATCTGGCCAAATTAAAGGAAGCAACCTCATTGGACAAGCAAAAATGGGACACAGCTATGCAAGGTTTTAAATAACTTAGCCCTAGGCTATTTTTACTCTTTTTACTTTACTATCTTAGTAAACGCCTTTGCTAAGAACTATTTATGGCTATTGGCTGATTGTAAATGTGAAGCACACTGGTGGTGGCTCATGTGCTGTAGTGTTCCAAGTACAGGGCCACAGGTTTTCCTCAGAACTCACACTGGCAGTCACCCTCCACAGACCCCGCTTTTCATTATGAGTGCCCACTTGGGGGAGTGGCCTGGAATGGGTGATGCATCTGTATTTTGTATCTGCTTATCTGTGAACGTTTTGCATCCTTCCAGTAGAATGTGAGTAGCTGGAAGACAAGGACTGATTTCCTTCTTGTCTCTGCATCCTCATCACCTCGGACAGTGCCGAGCCCATGACAGTTGATGAATAAATACTTGCTGAATTGAATTGGGTTGAATTTTCTAACCCTTCCCCCAGAGGGTGCTGAGCCTTCTCTATCTTTCTCTTCCTCAGACTGCTCCATGGATCTAAGGTGTCTCACAGCCCCAGTAACCACCTCCATCCCTGGCTGTGACATCACCCTCCTTTCGGACCCCGAGGCCAAGGGCTCCACCACAACCCTTTTCCCTCCCACCACCGACCTGCTGGCCCCTCCAGATGGGGCTGGACCTGAGAGCATGGAGGACTTCTCTGATGGCGATGTCTTTGGGCCAGAACTGGACTCACTCCTGGATTCATTGGTGAGATCCGCCACCCACTTCTCCACCCACCAGGAGGAGCTAGGGATCCCCTCCATGTCTCCAGTGCTGGGGTGTGCCCAGCTTCCCCTGAGTCTAGCTGATGCAACCCCATACACAAAAATAGGGCAGAATAATCACAAAAATAAAACGAGTTTATTATTGATTTTGCTTCCAACCTATTTCCCCATCTATTAGCTCATAATCACACTATCCCAAGGAGATATATCTCTCCTTGGGAGACTAGCGCCTAGAGAAGGAAAGTGACTTGTTTAAGAATATCCATCCTGCGGGGGTAGTTGGAAATGACACCCCAATTTCCTGGCTTTGGGTCAAGATTACGCACTAGAGGGAAGGGCAGGGGATTGACTGGGTATCTAATCTATTTAGATGACTAATTATAATTAATTGTGCTGATTTATTTTTATTTAATAATTAATACTTAATTTAAAGGCTCTTTAGAACTTAACGATCTATTTTTCCTTCACTTTCCCTCTTCGTCACCTTCTCTCTACCTTTTTCCTTTTGTCTCCATTCCATTTTCCTTCTCTTTTTTACCTTTCTTCTTTCTCCCTCTTCTCTTGTTCTTAATCTTTCTTCTTCCTTTTCCTTCCCCTCTCTCTCTTCATTCTATATTTCTTTTTGCTCTTCTTTCCATTATCCCTTGTTGCCCATTCTCTCTCTTTCCCCTTCTCTGTTCTCTTATCTCTCCTTTCCCCTTCTTCCTTTCCTCTCTATTTCCCCTTCCCTCCTCTTCTCCTTTCTCATGCCCCATACCTTCCTTCCTTCCACCTGTTGACAACCTCCTTGTAGTCTCTGGTCCAAGGCTCCATTCCAGCGACTGTGCCCAGTGAAATGCCCCAGCGGATCCCTGTGTTCCCAGGTGGGGCGCCCCTATTGCCCCCTGTGGTGAGTGGCACCATCCCTGTCTCCAATCCACTGCCCCCCGCATCCTTTGGCCTCGTCATGGACCCCACCAAGAAGATGGCCTCCTCCATGCTGGAAGCCTTTGACTCTCCGGTTTCCTCACTGGACCCTTTGGATCCTCTGGACTTGCTTCCGTACACAGATGCCCACCTCGAAGCCCTGGACAGCTTGGGGCCTGTCCGGGGCTCCCTGGACACACTGGATTCATTCCCAGTAGGTAAGTGCTCATGAGAAGAGACCCTAGAACATGGAATGTCAAAGTTGGGAGGAACTTCAGAACTCAGAAGTTCAGAGCTAAGAGGGACCTTAGAAGACGGAATGTCAGTGCTAGGAGAGGACTTAGGACAGAGAATGTCAGTGATGAGAGGGACCTTGGGGACTGTTGGGTCCAATCTCCTCATTTTTTAGGGTAGGAACCTGAGGCCCATTGTTAGGGAGGGTCACACAGTGAGTTAGTGGCAAAGCCTGGACTCATACCCAGGTCTGTTGAGTCTTCATAGCAGGGCTCTTACCTCCATTCTGCTTCTGCCCTGCCTGTGTGTATGTATGTGTGTGTGTGTGTGTGTGTGTGTGTGTGTGTGTGTGTGTGTGTGTGTGTAGTAAAGACCCTGAAATCAGTCATTTATTTCAACTTACCCTATTAGTCTGAATGTAGGTCACCCCAACGTAGGCCACCCCCTTAAAATAACCCTGGTATAAAGTGTACTTGGGTTTTAGGCAAAGCAAAATTTGGGGGATTCAGACTTATTTTCAGACCAATAGGAGAGTTCAGCTAGGCTGTCTGAGTGTAAGCTGTGTGCTCTGCCCTTTGGCAGTGCAACTTAAGGAAAACAAAATCTAAGCCTGAGATTCAGCATTCTCAGAGACCATCAAATCCAACCCCTAATTTTACAGATGAGGAAACTGAGGTCCGCGGACGTGGCGTGACCTGCCAAGCTCACACAGGCAGTGGACATCAGAGGAAGGATTTGAACCCTGCCCCTCTGACCCCACCCCCTCTCCCTTACATGTCCGAGTCTGAGGGTGGCCTCTTGGGGACCAGGGTGAGGCAGTTGTTGCAGAGTTAGGAATGAGCTGAGGATAACCCACATCCCATGCTTTGCGCGAGCCACCCTCCTGCAAAGGAAAAGTAATGCCCGTTTCTCTTCCCCCCCCCTTAGAGGACACCTCCTCTCAGGACCTACGACCACCCAGCAGCACCCAGAAGCCGGCCCCTGCAGTGAGTGATGTTTCCCCGGGAGGGGGAGGGGGAGAGACAAGTTTTTGTTGGGGGGGGTCTTTTGCCTCCCTGGGTGAAGGGGTCTGGAGTAGGAAGAATGAGAGCTCTGGTCCAGTGCGCGATGAGACAGTTGCTACTTAGCCCCCAGAGAAGCGCACAGAATACCAAGGTGCTGGAAAGCCCATTTACCCTAATCCCCTCATTGAACAGATGGGGAGACTGAAGCGTAGAGAACTCAAGCGACTGGTCCAAGGTTGTCTAGGAGCCGGGTTTCCTAACAGTATCTCGAGAAAGGCACTACCCAGGACCTAGCAAAAAGAGCTTGGACCAGGGAGTCATGGGTACTGGGTTCCAGTCCTCATTCAAACTTAGGGATAGAGATAGGATTGCCTGGGGCTTCCCTGATATAGGGAAAGCCCAGATGAGGCACTCCCTCCACCAAGGCAGCTTGGCACCTTGTATAATTTCTCATCCCAGAGAGTTATCTGTGGCACAGAAAAGTTAAGTGACTTGCCTAGGGTCACAGTCAGTATGTGTGAGGGGCTGAACTCAAGCCCAGGCCTTCCTGACTCCAAAGCTAGCTCTCTGTCCATTATACCATGCCACCTTTCAAACACAGCTGCGTGCAGATGTCTCCCCTCTTCTGGGCTTGGGCTTGTCATCCATGAGAGGAAAGGCTGGGCTGCTTGACCCTCCTTAGCTCTAACATTCTTGAGTTCTTTCCATTAGCTGGATTTCATTATCAGAGGAAGAGTCTGGGCTGGGAAAGAAAGAAGGAACCAGAGGCCCTGGGTCTGTAGTTGGGCTGGCAGGTTCTGGCTAAGGTGACGCACTCACCTTCTTCCTTCCCATGCTCCATCTAGCCGGCCAGCACAAGTCACTCCCCTCTGCCCAAGGTGGCTGATCTGCTGCCCCAGCAAGAGTCCGCCATGCCCAATACCGCCCTGCTTGTCAAGAACCCCCTGGCTTCTACCCACCTCTTCAAGCAGGCCTGCCACCTCTGCTATCCCAAAACAGGTAATGTCATACCCTACTCACCTCCAGTCTCCCCTCCCACCACTCTAGCGGCATAGAATCAGAGACACAGAGATTCAGGGAATCTTGGACTCATAGAGAATCTTCAAAACCTAGAAAAATCAACTTAGAAAATCAGAGAATCTTGGGACCATAGACCTTGAGAACCAAAGACTTAGGGAATCGTAGGAATTTCATAATCATAGACCTGGAATCTTAGAAACATAGACCAACTCAGAATCACAGAATCTTGGGATTGTAGACTTTTGGAATCATGGCATTTCAGAGCCAAGAATCTCAGAAATGGAAGAGATATTCAAAGTGATCTAATGCAATTCCCTTCCCAGGGTATGAATTTTATGCCTCTACAGAATTATGCCAAATGATTACCTAACTTCTGCTTGGACACTTCCAGTGACAGAGAACTCATTGGCTCCTGAGGTTACTTGTCCATTGCTGGACAGCTTCCTCTACAAAGACCTTCATTCTGTTGAACTGAAACTTAGCTCCCTGCATCACCAACATTTTATTCCTCTGGAAGAATTTATTAAGAGGCTCTGTTAGCATGTGCCTACTTTGTTCAAGCCATTATACCTCAAGACTATGGAAATGAAGGTCCTGGATTGGATTCCTGCTTAGACTGGGTCTTTGGTCTGTCTAGGAGCCAAGGCTGTCTCACTGGCTCATGCCAGACATCTCACAGCATGTGTGCTAATCACCAAGACGGGTTGAAAGAGGCAGGAACCAAAAGAGAGAGTATGAATAAATCAGAGCAAACTTTTTCCTACTAGTGGAGAGGCCTTGCTTAGCATGCTGTGCTGAGGGCTGGACAGGAGCACTGGAGACTGACCAGGCAGCAGAGGTTGGGATGGACGAGTTGTGGCTGGGCGGAAGGGATCTGCTCTCACAGTGAGGACTGTTGAGGAAACTTCACAGAAGGCGTGTCCTGTATAGATGGAATGAGTTAAATAACAGATCCTTGACCTCAGGTGACTTATAGGGAAACAGTGAATGCTGGGTCATTTGTTCATCAAAGAAAGATTAGCCATTGCCATATTGTTCTGAATGTAAGCCACCCCTTAGAGTGAATTCTCTTTGAAAAAAATTATATTTATATAGTCCCTGCTATGTGTCACATAGGGTGCTAAGCACTTTACGAATATTATCTTATTTGATCTACATGACAACCCTGGGAGGTAGGTGGTGTTAATACACCCATTTTACACTTGAGGAAACTGAGGCGAAGAGAGGTTTAGTAATTTGCCCAAGGTCACATAGCTAGCAAGTATATGAGGTTAGATTTGAACTCAGGTCTTCTGACCGCTGGTCCAGTACTCTATCCTCTGCATTACCAGCTGCCTTGCATATAGGTTTACTAGCTACATTTTATATATGTCAAGATTTGAGGAGAAAGTGTGGCCTGGACTCCCTTAAGGCTCAGCGTAGGTGCTGCCTCCTCCATGAGGACTACAATGATTTCTCTAGGTATTAACACACTGCTCCCACTCCTCACCTGAAATTACTTGGGCCCTCATATTTTGCATCCACTTATCTCTGCTTTCCTTCCCCATAGAATGTAAGCTTCCCGAGGGCAGGGCTTCTTTCATTTTTGTCTCTGTATCTCCAGCACCTGGGACTATGTTTGGCATGTGGTAGGCACTGTTAATAAATGCTCGTCTAAATGAATCAATTGCCAGACGTGCTGGTGGCGAGTTCTTCCCCCTCCTGCTCTTCCTCTCCCCACCCTTTCCCCTTCTTTCTGCCAGTCAGGAGCACCTTCCTTCTAAATCTCAGCAATAACTGGGGGTCCTTGGGCCACCGTCTCTAGTCTGCCTCATTGGATAGTCACCATTTGTGTGTTTAGGTCACGGTTTCGTTACTGCCTCTTGTTTGGGATACTGTTGCCTGTGAATTGTGGTTCACTTCACAGACAGTCTTCCTGTGTCATGCCTGCTACTCTCTGTGGTATTTGGCTGGGTAAATATACCTGGGCACTTTTCTTTTTGACTTTAAGCCTCACCCCCCAACCCCCCCGCTCTTTGACTGACAAGTGTCCAGGCAGACTGTTTTGAATTTTTTTTCAATTAATTAATTTTCAGATTTATTTTTTTTCCTTCTAACCTTACTCCCAGTTGGGGAAAAAGATGGCAAAAACAAAACCTTATTACAAATGTGCAATATAAATAGTACAAAACCCCCAAATTCCTGCATTGGCCATGTCCAAAGCTGTCTGTCTCAATCTTCACTTCTCTGGCAGGTGGATAATAGCAGGCTTCATCATGAGTCCTCCAGAATCATGGCTAATCATCGCATTGATCAATTCTTAAGTCTTCTGAAGTTGCTTATCTTTACAGTGTCATTGTTATTGAAGACGTTGACTTCCCGGTTCTGTTCACTTCACTCTGTGTCAGTTTATACTGATCTTCCCACGTTTGTCTGAAACTATCCCCTTTATCGTTTCTTACAGCACAGTAGTGTTCTGTCACATTCTTAGACCATAACTTGTTCACTCATTCCCCAATTGAGGGCATCCCCTGTTTCCAATTCTTTGCTATAACAAAAGAACTGCTACAAATGTTTTTGTACATATGGGTCCCTTTCCTCCTGCTTTGCTATTGGAGTACTGGCCTGCTAGTGGGATCACTGACTCAAAGGGTATGCACATAGGTCCAAATCACTTCGCACAATGACAATACAGAATTAATGTGCCTCTTTCCCCATAGCCGCTCCAACATTTGTCATTTTCCTTTTTTGTCATCTTTGCCAATCTGATGGGTATAAGATGGGATCTCAAAATTGCTTTGATTTACATTGCTCTATTAGTGGTTTTGAGCATTTTTATGTGGTTACTGATAGCCTGGATTCCTTCCTTTGAGAACTACCTCCTCATAACCTTTGACTATTTATGTATTAGGGAATGGCTCTTATCCAATAAATTTGTATCTGTCCCTTAGATATCCTGGCAATGAGACCTTTGTCAGAGAAACTTGCTAAAAGAATTTTTTTTCCTAATTCATCATTTCCCTTCTCATTTTAACTCGGGCTTTTACTGGTCCATCTTAGGTTTACTCCATCCTGGCCAAGAGGCTGTTATTCCACCATTGAAAGCCCTGGTTCAGAAATCTACATCCCATTCTCCCATATCACCATCAATACTTCTGTCTCTTCTGAAGGCTTGACCTTCAGTTGGCGGTGGGGATGGAAGCAACCCCGCCCCCCATTCCTCTAAGGTATCCTGTTTCTTGCTCAAGACTTCAGAATCCCTAGTAGTGTTTTCTGAGTTCTTTCTAGCTTCTATAGATATGCGCTAGTGGTCCACAGGCTTGACGAGCCTGTCATGTGATGAATACATCCATGCACCCGCAGGGAAGCCAGCAGACGCCCCTACTGTTGGTCCTGTGGGTCTTCATTCCACTCACTGCCTTAGCCGTCTTCTTAAGGCATCGGCCTGGTCAAGACAGTCTCTGGCAGAAAACTCACAATGTCTCCCCAATTCCTCATGAAGAACATATACGCCCTGACCCCGGCACAGTCCCAGCTCTGAGATTCTTCCATAATTGGTTTGCAGCTCGCCTTGCAGCCAGACATATCGCCCCTTTGCCTGCTCTACCTTGGGCCACACTAACCTCTCTCTCCCTTGCTTTTGGTCCACCCCCCCAGGACTGCAGCAGAATTCCATGGCCACTTCTCCCTGCCTTCCAGGGCCAGCCGAGAGGCCGCCTCTTTCAGGAAGCCTGCTTTGACCTTCACTCTTCCGCTTCCTCAGAGGACTCTCTTTTGTGGCAGCTCTCCTTTGCCTTCTCCCCATTCCCCTAAGTGCACTTATTGGTGCTTATTTCTTCTGGTGTCCGCCCCCCATTAAATTGTAAGCCTCTTGAAAACAGTCTGTACCACTTTTTATCTGTGCTCTCCAAAGCCTAATACAGTTTATCGGATTGAATCCAGTGGGAGTCAGATAAATACCATACATGGTATGTGAGCAAAAAGCACTGGGGAGCCAGTTTCCGATTCGGGTGAAGGCAATCTGGGAAGACTTCATGGAGGAGGAGAGGTTTCAATAGCCATTTGAATAGTAGAAGAGAAGCAGATCTTTAGGACCCTCTGACCTCTTTCAGGCCTGTTTGCTTCTCGTCCTCCGTTTGTCTTTGCTACCTTTGAGGCTCCCCTTCAGCACACAAGTCCATAAGCCTTGACCCATGGATCCCTCCTGGCATTCCCCACAGGTCCCAAGGCTGGTGACTACAGCTACCGGGAAGACCTAGAGCACAAGTGTAAAAGGGACATTCTGCTGGGGAGGATCCGAAACTCCGAGGACAAGACGTGGAAGCGGATCCGGCCCCGGCCCACCAAGACCAGCTTCATAGGCTCCTACTATCTGTGCAAAGGTGAGCTGGGGGTCGGCAGAGGGGGATGGGAGGGAGGAGCACCATGCTGTCTCACCATGGGTGGAAGAGCCCTCCAGGGACTTTAGAACAGACACTTTCAGAGCTGGGAGGGGCTTTGGACCAAGGAAGGTCAGAGTTGGAGGTAGCTTAGAACATGGAAAGTCACAGGTGAGAGGGACCTTAGAACACGGAATGTGAGAGCTGAGAGGGATCTTAGAGATCAATCAATTCGCCAATCAATCAACCAATAAGCATTTTTTTTTGAGGAGCTAGGCAATAGGGTTAAGTGACTTGCCCAGGGTCACACAGCTAGTAAGTGTTATGTGTCTGAGGCTGGATTTGAACTCAGGTCCTCCCGAATCCAGGGCCGGTGCTCTATCCACTGTGCCACCTACCTGCCCCCAATAAACATTTATTAAACTCCTAATATGTGCCAGACCCTGCAGATACCAAAACAAAAAAAGAAACTATTTGTTCCCTCAAATACTTACATTCTATTAGAGAAAACTGTAAGTGCACACAGAAGCACATTCTAGCAAATGCACATACCCAAGGCTATTTGTGGGGAGGCTTTAGCTGCTGGGGGATCAGGAAAGTACTCAGTAGGAAGTGGCCCTGGTGCTAGATTCAGAAGAAAACCAGAGATTCTAAGAGGTGGAAATGAGGAGGATGGCCATCCTAATCCTGGGGGTCAGTGGGTAAAAGGTGCAGGGGTGGGTCCAGGGAGCCTTGTTTGTGAGGAGTAGCAGCAAAACAGTGCGGCTGGAACACAGAGTTCTAGAGCAGAGGGGTTTAAATACCAGTGAGAAGACTTTGTATTTGACGTCAGAAGCCATAGGGAGCCATTGGAAGCTTAGGGAGTGACCTGGTCAGATCACTTTAAGCTGTGAGGAGGGTGGTGGGAGGGGTGAAAGGCTGCAGGCCAAGGGACCTTTGTACCTACTGGTTCCCAAGCTTTTTGAGGAGGAAGACCTTCCCATCCAAAAATTTCACCCATTCCCACGTGATAGTATTTGTATCATTAGTAATCCATTAATTGAAAAATCACATGACAAAGTACCTTAGGTCCTCAGGAATATTCTCAAATTAATTAGTAGTTTGTGAATTTGAAAACAGTAATGGATGTTCATGTGTGACATATTCCTGAAGGTAGGTTTGCTTCTCAGGGGAGTCGCACATGGATTAGGCAAACCCCTTACAGGCCACTGGTTGGGAACCATGAGACCAGTGCCAGCCCCTTATTTTTTTCAGGAAAGTGAGTTTGTTCATTGTACCATGACATCAGGAAGGTGATGCCATGACATGCAAGTGAATTAGATTTAAGTGAGGGAGGCTGTGCAAAGTCACCAGCCTGTTTCTCCTCTGGAGCCATCTGGGTCCAGTGGCCTGATATAGATCAGGACAACTAGAGATGGTCCTGGATGCAGTGGGAGACCTTGGCCTTTTTAAGCTAAAGTCTTTCCAAGGTCACAGTTTGACTGAAGCAATGCCCATTCAGTGGTTAAGGCTAGGTAAGAGGTGAGGCAAAGAATGGCCTTTTTTACCTAAATAAAAAAAAAATACAAAAACAACCCAGTCTGGGAGCGGAAGACCCTCAGAGTTTCTGGCCAAAATAGAAATTACTATTTACACTCACGCTGAGCCAGCAGAACCCAAACAATGACCAAGTGAGGCTTAGACTGGAACCTACTGTTGGCCAACCATTGAGAGCCAGAGTGATTTGGATTTAATGCATGGTTCTTAAAAAAGAAATCTAGTCTATAAATCCCAAGATATCTTGCAAAGTTTCAGCGATCAGAATTTATATTCCTTTGGGCAGAGCACCCTATGCGGACAAAAGGAGGGAAGGAAGGAAGGAAGGAAGGAAGGAAGGAAGGAAGGAAGGAAGGAAGGAAGGAAGGAAGGAAGGAAGGAAGGAAGGAGCTGTGTTGCCCGACTGGAACTGGCCAGTTGGGTCCCCAGTTACTCCTACTCCCAGACTGTTGTTTGTCCTTTGCTCTTGAAGAGGACCATGGCATCAGGAAGGTGATGTCATGACTTGCAAATAAACTGGATTTAAGTAAAGGAGGGATGAGCAAAGTGTCTCACTTTCTCCTCTGGAGCCATCTGGTCCAGTGTTGAGATCTAGATCAGGATGACTGGAGATGGCCAGGGAGAGTAAGTAGAGTGTAAGTAGAATAGCAGGAGGAAGAGGAGGAGGAAGAGGAGGGAGAGGAGGAAAAGGAGCAGGAAAAGAGGGAGGAGGAGGAAAAGGAAGGAGAGGAAGAGGAAGAGAAGGAAGAGGAGGGTGAGGAGGAGGACAAAAGTGTCAAAGGAAAGGTCCCCGAGGTTGAGGCTTGGCCAAATGCCCTCAGATTTGGCAGTTAAGAGTTCCTGGGTAGCCACAGAGAGGAGTTTCAGGTGAATGAGGAGGTCAGAGGGTGAGCTGCAGAGTGCTGAGGGGTGACAGAGAGGAGAGGGCTTGAGCCTGGCTGGGCCACGTCTGGCGCCAGACATCTCCCAGATGCCTGGAGCTGACTTGAGCTTGTGCTCTGCTCCTGTGTGACTGTGGGGTCACTTCCACACCAAGGCAAGGGATTCCAACCCTGTCTCTCGTGATAACTCCCTGGGAGGCCTCGGTAAGTCACCTCTCCTTCCTGGCCTCACTTTCCCTCATCTGTCAAATGAGGGAGCCTCTGGGGTCCCTTCCAGCTCTAGAGCTAGGATCCTCTCTGAGCCTCAGTTTCCTCATCTTTAAAATGGGTGAGATGAAATAGATGGACTCTGAGATCCCTCCCAGGTCTGTAAACTTCTGAAGCATCTGCAGATTTTAGCAGAGGGACATTTTTATTTGTTTGTTTGTTTTTGCTAGGCAATGGGGTTAAGTGACTTGCCCAGGGTCACACAGCTAGTGTTATGTGTCTGAGACTGGATTTGAACTCAGGTCCTCCTGAATTCAGGGCCAGCGCTCTATCCACTTAGCCACCTAGCTGCCCCCGCAGAGGGACATTTTAACAAATGCAGTGTCTGAACATCATGGGAATTCAAGTCCCATCTTGACGTATCAGGTCACCAAAGGTTCATTAATTTCCTCCTCCACCCCTCATAACGAAATATGACAATCCCCCTTCTCTCTATGAGGTTTTATGTTTGGTGAAGCACTGGCCTCATCATGACCCTGAAAGATGAGAGGTGAAATTATTATTGTCCCCTTTTTCCAGGTGAGGGTCCTGGGATGACCCTTCTAGTGGAAGGACACCTAATGGAAACACCTCATTTTACAAAAGAGGAAACTGAGGCCTGGTTAAAGGAAGGATCAAAAAAGCAGGCAATACGTACTGGGATTCGTGGCTTCATATAGGATTTTCCTTTTGGGTTCTGCTGTATATATGGAAATCCTCTCTCTTTTTTTCTTTTTGGCATTTCCAATCCAATAATCCAATCCAATAACATTTATTAAGTGCCTACTCCGTGCCAGGCACTATGCTTGGGATATAATCAATATGCTCAGAATTTTTAAAAAAATTTAACTTGAGTAGACAAAAGCTCTAAGACTCAAAGGGCCTTTAGGGGCCTTCTTGTCTGCCCCCTCATTTCAGCAAGGTCACAGAGGAGAAGTAACCTGAGGAAGGTCTCCCCACTAGCAGGGGCCTCAGGCTTCAGGAGCAGTGTGTGATGGACTGGGCCTCGGCATCGAGGCTTCCCGTGGTGGAACGTGGAACGTGTGTGTCCTTGTTACCTCTCCGCAGACATGCTTAACAAGCAGGACTGTAAGTACGGGGATAACTGCACCTTCGCCTACCATCAGGAGGAGATCGACGTGTGGACTGAGGAGAGGAAGGGTACCCTCAACAGAGACCTGCTCTTCGACCCCCTCGGGGGAGTCAAGCGGGGCAGCCTCACCATCGCCAAGCTTCTCAAAGAGCACCAGGGAATCTTCACCTTCCTCTGTGAGGTAGGGCCCCCCGCTGCTCCCCAGCTTCCCAGCCTCCTGGGGAGGGGAAAGGCTCAAAGGGTGTCCTTCAGCCTCCCAGCACGCAGTTGTTGTCCAGGAGGGGAAATGTCTTGGGTCACACACCCTCATTAGCACCTACCTAGAATGACCACTATTCATTCACAGCCTAGAATTCTAGAGTGGCGATCAGGACAGGAACTTAAAATGTAGAATACAGAATGTCCGAGATAGAAGGGACATTAGAACAGGGAACAGAGACTCTCAGAGCTGGGAGGGACTGTAGACCATGGAATTTCAGCTCTGGGAGAAACCTTAGAACAGCAAAGATCAGAGCTGAGCCTTTGAATCTAAAATGTTAGAGCTGGAAGAGGAGTTAGAATGAAGAATGTCAGAGCTAGAAGCGACCCTAGAACACAGAATGCAGAATATCAGCACTGAGTTGGGTGGAGAAGATCCTTTGAATCCAAAGTACCCAAACTGGAAATGACCAAAGAACGTGGAATGTCAGCAGTGAACAGAGAATATTAGAGCTCAGAGGGCCCTTAGAATGTGGAATGTCAGAATTAGGGATCTTCTGATCTAAATGGGAAAGCTGTGGCCCAGCGGGTCCTATCATCTGCCCCAGCTCACACAGCAAGTGAGAAGGAATCCCGGCCCTAGCATCCAGGACTTTTTCTGTGTGTCATGCTGAAAAAGATTCAATTCAGAGTTGAATCCTATATTTTGAAGGAATTTTAGTGATCACTGGGTCCAACCCTGTTATTCTCTAGAGGAGGAAACTAAATCGAGTCAGTGCTAGAGTTAGGGCTTCTTCCCGGGTCTCCAGGATCTCAGCGGGCTCTTTTTACTGTGCACCAAGCATTCACCCCCTCCAGTGTGTCCAACGCAGTTGCTCCCTGCAAAGGGGAGAGATTGGGGAAGAGAAAAGGCAAAGTAGGAGATAAGGCCTCTGCCCTCAAGATCTACATCAAATCAAGCTGGGGAAGTGAGTGAGGGTGAAATCCTCAAGACATAGGAGTTTGCGTTCCCAGGCTCCTCGGGGCTCACGCTTGTGTAAAGCTAAGTAGCAACACCAGGGGGCAGGCAAGGGCTTGAGAATTGCCAAAGAATTCCAGGGCCAGGGTTTTCCTGCCCCTTCCTCTACTCTGAGTGAGGGAGAGTGGGGAAGAATATATTAGGATATGTAAATAATGTAAAAAAAAATTAAGATGAAAGAAAAAAAACTAATGTAATTTCAGTCTGTTTTAAGAGAGGTATAGTGTCTAGGCCTAGGATCACAGATTTATAGCTGGAAGGTGCCTTAAGAGCCAAGGAGTCCAACCTGCTTATTTACATGTGAGGAAACTGAGTCCCAGAGATAATAATAATAATAATAGCTAACATCTATATAGCAACTACTATGTGACAGGCATTGGGATAAATGCTTTATAAACATTATCTCATTTGATACCCACAATAACCCCGTGAGACAGGTGCTGTTCTGATCCTCATTTTATAGTGAAGTCCATGGTTAAGTGACTTGCCCAGGGTCACACAGCTTTAGTGACTGAGGCTGGATTTTTTTTAAGGCAATTGGGGTTAAGTGACTTGCCCAGGGTCACACAGCTAGTAAGTGTCAAGTATTTGGTCTGAGGCCAGATTTGAACTCAGGTCCTCCTGACTTCAGGGCCGGTGCTCTATCCACTGAGCCACCTAGCTGCCTCCTGAGGCTGGATTTGAACCCTAGTTTTCCTGATTCGAAGTTTCCCTGAACACCACAGTGAGGGAGGCGACCTTCCTGCTGCCCCTGCCCTGGTCGGATCACATCCGGGGTATTGGGTTTAGTGCTGGGCATTGAGGAGGGACCTCAGGACCCCTGGTCACAGCCTATGAGGAGCAGTGGAAAGAGCTGGGGATGTTGAGCCAGGAGAAGGAGAGACTCAGGGAGGGAGAGGGAACGTGGTGGTGGGCCAGCCTGTTGGAAGGACTGACAGGTGGAGGAGATGTTTGATTAGCTCTGCTTGGGCCGGAGGATACAACTAGCAACAGTCAGGGAAGTATGCCAGAGGTCGATTTCAGCTCAACGTTGGGAAAAACATTGTAACCATGAGACCTATCCCAGGATGAAAAGGGCTGCCTGAGGAGGTGGTGAGCTCCCTGTCACCAGAGGTCTTTGAGCTCAGGCTAGATGACCCTCCTTGGGAATACAGTTAAGGGGATCTCTATTCACGATCCAAGGTTCCTTCCAGGTCGGAGATTCTGCGATGAACCAAGGACTGGGTAACTCCCACACTGGACAACTGGCCAGGAAGCAGCCTCGTGTTCCTTCTTGGACTCTTCCCAAGGGGCCCCAGGACTGTCTTCTGACCGTTCCCCCTGGGCTCGGGGGACCTTGTCCTCTGCTGAGCCCTGACCTCGCTCTTTCCTGCCCCTGTGTTGAACAGATTTGCTTCGACAGCAAGCCCCGGATCATCAGCAAGGGGGCCAAGGACTCTCCTACCGTCTGCTCCAACCTGGCCGCCAAGCACAGCTTCCATGACAACAAGTGAGTGGCCCCGGGGCCTGGCCTGGCCTGGGGAAATCCTCTGTTCTTGGTGCCCTCCCTGGCTTGTCTGCTGATAGGCTGTGTGCCCTTGAACTAGTCTCCCTGGGCCTCTAGTATCCCCCTCTGTAAAATGGGGAGAATAATGAGAGCTACCTCATCCTCCTGAGACTCTGGGCCGGCATAGAGAAGGGATCGAGAGTCGCTCCTCCACGACTCAGCTGAGGGCTGGGAGAACCTTCAGTGGGTATCCCCGGCATGGGGAAAGGTCTCCAAAATGCCCACAGCCTTTGTGGGCAGCTCTTTGCCCCGTCCCTAGAATTAGTGACCTAATCAGCCATCTAGTCTGCATGACACCTCAGAGGTCATCTCATCATTTTACAGATGGGGAAACTGAGGCCCAGAGCCGTCAATGTCGATGGTCCCCCAGGGAGTGAGTAGCAGAATGGGGAAGGTCTTTTGTAGCTCCCATGTTTATACAACATTATTTAAAGGTTGCCTAGTACTTTTCCCCGAATGATCCTGTGAGGAAGGTCACCCCAGCATGATTATCCCCATTCCCCAGGTCAGGAAATGGAGGTTCAGAGAGGGACATAGTCACACAGGTAGTGAGGGTCAGTCAGGATCTGAATCCAGGGCTTCTAGCTTCCAGCCTGGCCTTCTTTATACCGGGCCTCACTGATTTCTTTTTCCAGAACTGCGTGCTCTTGGCCACCACACACACAGATTTTGTCACTTGCCCAGGGCTATGTAGCTTCTAAGTGTCTGGGACCGGGTTTGAATTCAGATTCCAAGTCCAGCACTTTCTCTGCTGTGCTTAATAATGTTATTATCATTATCATCATCAGTAATAACAATAGGACAGGGGGACTGGGCCTGTGATTTCATTGAAAGAAAAAGCCTTTATTTTTAGGCATTTCCTCAAAATACCCAGGAGAGCTCAACCAGTGACTCTCCAGGGAAACAGACCACCGTCACACACAGAACCATTGCCCAAATCACTCGGCCATCTACTGACCCAGAAAAAACTGGAGAACAGCTTTGAAAATAAACGTCTCCACCCCCAAAGCCCATACTCTCCAAGCTCCGTGACCCAAAGAGTTTTCAAAGGAGAGCCCAGCGGAGGAGCTCTCCACCCCAAGGGATGGGACGAGGTGCCCAGCATCCCCGTGGTTCTGCCTGCCAACGATGGTTGCTTGAACCAAGCCACCAGAGAGGCAGCTCAGGGTCAGACGCTTTTGTTCAACTGCTGAAAGTAGCGATTTCTCCCCCGGCGCAACCGTCCATAGAATACTGAATATCAAGGAAGAATAGCAGAGGAATGACTCGTGACAGTACCAGGACGATTTCTATCAGAAACCCATTGAAAAAGAAAAGAATGACAGAACGGTTAACAATAGTTGTGGTTAATTGCTCAGTTGTCTCTGACTTTGTGACCCCATTTAGGTTTTTGTTTTCTGTTTTTTGTTTTTTTTTTTTTTCCGGAAGTGATTTGCCATTTTATTCTTCAGCTCATTTGACAGATGAGGAAACTGAGGCAAACAGGGTGAAATGACTTAGCCAGGGTCACACAGCTAGGACATGTCTGAGGCTGGATTTGAACTCAGGAAGATGAGTCTTCCTGCCTAGTACTCTATGCATTGTGCCACGTAACTGCCCTGTAACAATAGCACTAATAATAATAACTGGTAGTTCTTTAAGGCTTGCAAAACCTTACCATAGTTTAAAGTTTTAATAATCCATATGTGACCTTGGCCCAGTCACCTTTAGCCTTTGATTTCTTCACTTGTAAGCTTAATAGCTTAAAATTACATTAAGACTTTGGGGACGTCTCGTACTATCTCCTTTGGGCCTGTGAGGTAGGTGCTACAGGTGTTATTGCCCCCATCTTTGAGATGAAGAAGCTAAGGCTAAAGGCAGCAGGTGACCTGCCCAGTGTTATGCGGCTGGCTTCGGAGGTGGAGTGTGAAACCAGATCCGTCCAATAGGAGGCAGTGTGGCATATAGGAAGACAGAGCACTGGATTTAGCAAGCGTTGGTTCTGTTACTTGCTACCTGCATGAGGGATCAAAATTTACATTCCTTTGGGCAGAGTGCCTGCAGGAGTGAGGCTGGTGGCTTCACACAGCCCTCCAGCATCACCTTCCCCGTGCCATGGTTGTCTTTGAGAACGAAGGACAAAGCAGCCTGCAGGAGCTGAGGCAAATCAATTGTCCGAGCCTCAGTTTCCTCCTCTGTCAAATAAGTGGGTTGGGTTAGATGAGCCCCAGAGTCCCTTCTAGCTGTAACTCTGTGACCCTCGGGCTCGATGCCCGCCAGTCTCCTCCCTCTCACTATGCTGCCTCTCACTGAGATAACAGTTCCGTCACTGTCTTTTCGCCATCTGGCTAAAAGCAATTCTGAAGGTTCCCTCGAGTTTGTCCTCCCAGCCCCACAAGAAGGGAGGTGATGCGGTAGTTATGCTTCCCTTCTAACAGATGGGGAAACCGAGGCCTAGAGAGGGAGGTGGTTTGCCCGAGGCTGTATACACACGGAGGTCACTAGTTCTGATTTCCAGCCCTGGGGTTTTTTTGCCGTTGACTGGGACTGTGTTAAGCTTCTTGCCGTCTGTGCCTGCCAGTCAGTAGGCCCTTCCTGGCTCCCCTTTCTCAAATGGTCTGGGACAGCAGAACTGGTGATGGGTCAGATCAGCACTTCTCCAAGTGTAGTCTGGGAACCCTTGAGGAATGCCTGAGACCCTTTCAGGGGGACCACAAGGCCATTTTCATAATACTCCTGAGGTTCAAGTTTCTCATGTGTAAAGATCTGTAGCTGTAACCCACCTAACCAAAGCTATTTGGGGGAGGGGTCCCGAGACCAAAAGATTGAACCGGTGGACTCAGCAAGGGCTTTCCCTGAAGGAAACTTGCAAAGCAAGCAGCCCCGGGGACACTTTGCCCTGGTGGCTTCCTGCCTTTTATTCTAAAACCAGACCAGATCCCTTGGGCTATCTGCAGGTTTGAATCACCTGTGCCCAGTTCCTCCTTTCTACCCCCACATTTGTGTGGGTGATTGAGAGGCCAACCCATTATAATATTTGACAATGATGCATCTGTGATAGAGAAGGGAAAGAGAATTGTTCCTAGCGGTAAGGGAGACTCCCTGGGCTCCTATCTCATCTCTAACCCTTACTAGCTGGATGACCTTGGACGAGTCACTTGGCCTGTCAGAGTCTCGGTTTCCTCCTCTGTCGAATGAGGGGGTTGGGCTGGGTGACTTGGAAAGTTCCTTCTGGTTCTAGACCCAGGATGTGGGTAATCCTTCCATCAGGGGAGCTTCTTCTAAATCCTGAGGGTCCCCATCCTACTTGCTTCTTCCTTTTCTATAGATCTTCAAAGTCAGCATTGGAAGAGAGGGCTCAGCTCATGACTCGGGCTTCTTTACCAGCTCACATTTTATGGAGCTTGAAAGTTTATGAAGTGGTAGATTAAGGGTTATTGTCACCATGTAACAGCCAAGGAAACTGAGCCGCCTCTGAGACACTAAGTGAGTGGCCCAGGGCCACACTGCTACTAAGTGTCTGAGCTGGTACTAGAACCCAGATCTCCTCATTCTGCTGACCTCCATGTTGACCTGTGTGATCATTTCCTGTTCCACCATGCTTGAAGGTTCACAAAGTGCTCTCCCCAAAATAGCCCGCCGAGGTATGTAGAGTGAGGACGATGAGACCCATTTTAGAGATGAGGAAGCTGAGACCCAGAGAGGACAAGTCACTTGCCCACAGCCACATAGCAAGTATCAGGATGAGGATGCCAAACATTGAACTTCAGACTTCTACTCTTGCTTCTCCCGATGTTGCCACGGATATCGTGCCCGTGGGGCAGCTGCCATTCCATCGGGGGCAGGCTGGGACGTTTGGTGGTAGCCACAGCAACAACAAAACTGTCAACAAAAGTGGGGTTCTCTCAGATGGGGAACAGCTGAACGAATTGTGGGGTGCGAATGCAATGGATGTAATGTCCATAAGAAATGACAGATATGAGGAATGCAGGTGGACTTGGGGAGATTTGGAGTCTGATGACCTGTGTGCGAATTCTAGTTCTTCCACTTTCTTCCAACTTGTGTATGACCTTCAGCAAGCTGCTGCTTCACCTGTCGGGTCCTCAGTCTCCTTGTCTGTGAAATGGGGCATTGATCCAGACCAGAGCTGCTCCCCACAGTCTGCCCACACAACACCAAATGCTCCAAACCAGGTTAAAATACAATTAGGAGATGTTTAATGAAACAAATACAAACACAATGCGACATAGATAATGTTAATTTGTGGTTTTCTAAGTCAATATGCAGTGGCAGGGATCTGCTTCTATTTGAGTTTGACACCACTGGGCTCGAGGGCTTCTAAGCTCCCTTCCAGCCCTGAATCTGTGATTTCTATACCTTGTATGACCTGATGCAGAGTCCTGGCAAATAGGACCACAAAAGTGTAGACAACGGCTAGAATTGGGACTGGAAATGGCGCTAAAAGACAACTGAATTCGATATCAAATGCCATGAGCAGTCTTGGTCCTACGGAACAAGTAAGGAAGCACACCTCCCTTGGCTTAGTGGAGAGGTGGGGGGTTGCAGTTGCCAAGTGTGGCATACGCTGTCAGAGGTAGTCATCATTTCAGCCTGTTGTGCTTCCCTCTTTTTCGAGGTTACATTGGAGGAATGTCTGAGCCGAAAAAACAAAAGGTGCCACACTCACTCTGCCTTCCTCCTTCTGCCAGGTGTCTGGTTCACATCGTGCGCTCCACTGCCCTGAAATACTCAAAGATCCGCCAGTTCCAAGAGCACTTCCAGTTCGATGTGTGCCGCCACGAGGTACGCTATGGCTGTCTTCGAGAGGACAGCTGCCACTTTGCCCACAGCTTCATTGAACTCAAGGTCTGGCTGCTGCAGCAATACTCAGGTGAGGATGGGAAGGAGAAGGTGGCGTGAGGTGAGAGGGAGGAGACTCCCTGGCAGCTGCCCCTCTTTTCCACACTAGACAGTTTCTCCCTTACTCTGTGCCCAGGCAAGACCAGCCTACAGCTGACACCCCTTCCCGCCCATCCAGTAATCAAAACCTGCCTCAGGGCATCTTGTAACTGATCCTAATAACTCTCGCTTCTCTAGTACCTTGAGGTTTTCCTCTCTCAGCAGCCCCCTAGAGTATTTGAACCATTATTCCCATTTTACAAATCAAGAAACGGATTCTGAGGGAGGGAAAGCCATTGGCCCAGGAGTCCCACAGCTACTGAGTATCACTTGTTCTGTCGTTTTTAGTCCGACCCTTCATGGCCCCATTTGGGGTTTTCTTGGCAAAGATACTGGGGTGGTTTGCCATGTCCTTTTCCAGCTAACGGATGAGGAAACTGAGGTAAACAGGGTCAAGTGACTTGCCCAGGGTCACACAGTTAGTAAGTCTAAGACTAGATTTTCAGTCAGGTCTTCCTGACTCCAGGCCTGGCACTCTATCCACCGCACCACCTAGCTATCAGTTAGGTTTAAGACGCTGGTTCGACAGAGAACCTCTAATAAGAGGGGAATAATAATAATAATAATAATAGAATTCCTGCCCTCAAGGAGCTTACAATCTTAAAAAAAATTTAGCTTATTTTGCATTTGTACAGAAATGTGCCATTTCCGAAGCATTCTCATGAGTCGAAACTATGGAGCACCATTATTCATTCATCCCAGTAAGCATTTCTTAAGTGACTCCTCCACGTGAGGGCCCAATATGATGGGGCTGCCAATGAAGAGCCACGGGAGGCTTTCCTCCACCTTTCCAAAGTGCTGCGGTCACGTCAACGTGGGCCATCTTCCTGACATTGGAGACACAAGTCCTTCCCTGCCTGGAAGACAAATCTAAGAGTCTAAAAGTTCATCCCCTAGCAATCTGCCTCCTTACCTCGGTACATCAATCACAAGCATCAGGGATGGTGGTTGTGGGATTTTGCGTGAATCTGCTCCCTGCCCCCCCTGCCTCAGTTTCCCAATGTGTAAAATGAGAAGGGTTGGACTAAATGACCTCTAAGGTCCCTTCCAGCTTTAGGTCTGGGATCCTGTCTTTAGGCTCTCTAAGGAGTTCTGGAGCTAAATTTGGCATCAGCAAGACCCAGGTTCAGACCTTACCTCTGACTCTCAGTAACTGTGTCAGCCTGGCATGAGTCATTTAACCTCCAGCATTTACATCAGATGACTCCACGAAGCCTCAGACAGGTTGCAGTCCTACCCCCTCCCCAGTAGCTAGTGCCCACCCCATCCCCCCAAATTACTTTGTATTTACTTTTTGTATATGTAGTCTCTACCTGTCCATGTGACTGTTCTCCCTTCCTCCCTGCCAGAATGTAAGCTTCCTGTGGGCAGAAATGGCCCAGTACCCAGGAAGGTGCCTGGAAGAGAGCAGGAGGTTAATAATTGATTTATTAATAATTTATTGATGCTGTTTTCTAGAGACAGATGGTACAGTAGATAGAGAGCTGGCCCAGGAGCCTGGAGACACGAGTTCAAATCCAGCTTCAGACACTTAATAACTGTTTGACCTTGGGCAAGTCACTTAAATGCTGCCTGCCTCAGTCTCCCCAACTATAAAATGAAAATATTGGGGGCGGCTAGGTGGCAGAGTAGATAGAGCACTGGCCTTGGAGTCAGGAGGACCTCAGACACAACACTTACTGACTGTGTGACCCTGGGCAAGTCACTTAACTCCAATTGCCTCACCCCACCCCCCGCAAAAAAAAAAGGAAGAAGAAAAGAATAACAATGATGCTGATGATACTAATTCATAATAACATCTTCCTCCCAGGTTTGTTGTGAGGGTAAAATGAGATATTATTTGTAAAGTGCAAACCCCAAAAGGCCAAGTAAGTTATTATTGTTAGTAGAATGTAAGCTCTGTGACGGGAGGGCTGTTTGACTTTTGTCTTTGTATCACAATTACCCAACACAGAGTCTGGCAGACAGCAGGACCTTAGTAAATTCTAGCTGAACGAATCTTTACAGATGAGGAAACTGAGGCCAGGGAGGTCTTCCAGATTACACAGCTAATTAATGCTAAAGTCAGGGTTCTAAATCGAGAATTCTTTTCACCGAGGTAATAATGATTTTTTCTGTCACTCAATCAACAAACAATTATTAAGCACCAACTGGGCACCAGGCATATTACTACAGGATCTTCAAAGAGCTTGTTGAACCTTGAAGCACCATAGAAATGGGAGTTACTGTCAATCCAAGTCCCGCAGTGAACAGATGAGGAAACAGAGCCTGTTAGGAGGACAGTGACTTTCCCTGGGTCACGCAGGGAGTGAGGAGCAGAGCTAGGGTTCAAAGCCACATCTTCCAGCTCCTCTGCTCAGTGCTTGCCACCCCTGCCGGCTCCTTCATCCCTACTCTGCACGGGCAGCAGCCCCAACCCTGGCCCAGTGCTCCACACAGGCCCCCAGCGCCACGCAGCCCATCAGTCGTCCTCAGGTTGGTTTCCTTTCCTTCCCCAGGAATGACCCACGAGGACATCGTCCAAGAGTCCAAGAAGTGCTGGCAGCAGATGGAGGCCCATGCAGGCAAAGCTGCCAACAGTTTGGTGAGGAGCCAGCCGAGGGCAAGGGGAACGTGGCTTTGGCCACGTGGTGGTGCAGTGGAAAGAGCCTGGTGCTGGAGTCCAAAGACTCGCATTCTGGCCTGGCCTCTGATGTTTGCTGCCCATGGGACTTTGGACAAGTCACTCGGCCATTCCGAAAGTCTTTAAAACGAGGAGGCTGGATCAGGCGCCTCTTAGGTCCTCCTCCTTCTGAATCCTCCAATCCTCTCAGATGCAGGGATGCCTTGGTTTGACATGTGGGTGTGTGCGGTGGGGGGTGCATGCACACATGAACGGGGAGTGGAAGGCATCACCCCAGAATGCACGGGACCAGGGGCTCCCTGAGCCAGAGCTGGAAGAAGCCAGCTAGCTCAACCCCCACATTTGACAGAGGAGGAAACTGAGGCACAAGGAAATTAAATGACTTGTTCAAAGTCACACAAGAAATATCGAAGGGGAGATGTGAACCCAGGTCTTGCCCCTGTAGTGCACTGCCCCCTTCTGGCCTTAGAGAAGGGCTATTTTACATGAATATATCATTTTATGTAATATAAATATGTATTACTATATTTATATTTTATAATCTAATATAAACATTATCTATGAGCGAAATTACCCTATGAAGTCAGAAGAATAAATGTCCTCACTTTTCAAATTGAGAGACTGAGGCTCAGAGGAGATAAATGACCTACCTCAGGTCACAGCTAGTTGGGACTCAAGTTCAGGGCTTCTGAGGCTAGTCCAAGGTCTCTTTCTACTCTCCTTCCAACCAGCTCCTCCCCCACCCCTTACCTCCCTCCTCAACTCCCTCATTCAAATTAATTATGCGCCAATGAAGGACCTACTCTATACCAGGCTCCGGGCTGGACACTGAGTCCCAAAGGCAACAAAGGAACATTCCTGCCTTCAGGAAGCTCACGTTTCTCTCTTTTGTAGAGACCGTGTGGCCCAGTGGAAAGAGAGGCAGCAGCCATGGGACACACGTTCAAGTCTCCCATCTCTGTGACCTTGGGTAATCCCTGAGCCTCTCTGGGCTTCTGTGTCCTCATGTGTGAAGGGAAGGGACTGAACCAGACACTCTCTGAGGCCCCTGGCCATCTCTAGAGCTTGGATCCTCTCAGGTCCTAGAACCCCGGATTTAGAGCTGACAGACCCCCTCAAAGTACCCCAAGGTACAACATCAGGTTGGCCTAAGGGCACAGCTGAGGCTAGAGCCCAGGGACAACAGCCTGGGGTGGTGCATTTACAGTCAGCAGCCCTGGATTCCAGTCTCATGGTTACTAGCTGTGTGACCCCCTGGACCAGCTGCTTAACTTTTCCAAGCCTCAGTTTTACCATCTGTGAAATGGAGATACCTGTCACATTCCCCCTTTACAGAGTTGTTGGGGGAAAAGTGCTCAAGAAATGCAGGTCCTTTTGATCTTGGCCAGTCTGTTACTACACATGAGGCCCCAAAGCCTCGAGGTCACCGGTGCCTGAGGCAGGATTGGGCACTTCTGATTTTAAGTCCCCTGTGCTTTGGATTCTATGCCAACAAGCCTGCCTCAGATGCTAACCAGCTCTGCCGGCAAGTCATGGAGTCTCAGCTTCCTCATCTATTCAATGGGGATACTAATAGTCCCTACCTCACAAGGCTAGTGTGGGGATGAAATGAGATGTGGCAAGGTTGGCAAAAGCCAGCCTTGAAGTGCCAGGCAAATGTTCACTCTTTTTCTCAGTCTCCTCTGTGGGCCTTGGTTTGTGCTTCTGCTAAGCCAAGAAGTTGGACTAGATGTTCTCCAAAGGTCCTTCCAGCTCTGCCGCTCATTCCCTGCTGCGGCTCCCCTCTCCCAACTCTGTCCTCATTTCCTCCATGCCCTTCAGAGGCTGAAGTGCTGCTGCCTCATCCAGGTCATGAAGGGTATTGGGGAAACTGAGTCACTCTGGGCTCTTCTGTTTCCCGTGAAGGCGAGAGTTAGGAATGGAAGTCCTGGATCCAGAGCCCTCGAGAATAACCTCAAAGCCTCCATAGTGGTCCCAGTACAGAGCTGGGGAAGGGGATGCTGGGGGGGAGGGCTGAAAGAGAAAGTAAGTGGGGAGCACTTGGTCCCACTGAATCTAGCCTGCTGATGGTTGTCAGAGGAAAGATTGCTCTCTTCCTACCCACCTTTTGTCTGTCAGCATTCCTTTCCTCCATTTGCTCACTTCCTTTTTCTCCATCCCCTCCCACTTCTATCCCTCTCTCTCTCCTCTTCCTCTTCCTCTCCCAGTGTCTTCCCCTCTCCCTCTTTTCTAGTGTTTCCCTCTCTTCTCTCTATGCTTCCCTCTCTCGTCTCTCCTCTCCCTCCTCCTCTTCTTGCACCCCTCCCTCTCTCCTCTCCTTCCTCTCCTCTCCTCTCCTCTCCCCTCCTCTTCCCTCCCCTCTCTCCTCTCCTCTCCTCTCCTCTCTCTCCTCTCCTCTCCCCTCCCCTCCCCTCCCCTCCCCTCCCCTCCCCTCCTCTCCTCTCCTCTCCTCTCCTCTCTCTCCTCTCCTCTCCTCTCCTCCTCTCCTCTCCTCTCCTCCCTCCCTCCCCTCTCCTCTCCTCTCCTCTCCCTCCCTCCCTCCCTCCCCTCTCCTCTCCCTCCTCTCTCTCCTCTCCTCCCCTCCCCTCCCCTCCCTCCCCTCCTCCCCTCCCCTCCCCTCCTCTCCCTCCTCTCCTCTCCTCTCCTCTCCTCTCCTCTCTCTCTTCCTCTCCTCCTCTTCCTCTCCTCTCCCTCCTCTTCCTCCCCTCCCCTCCCCTCCTCTCCTCTCCTCTCTCTCCTCTCCTCTCCTCTCCTCTCCTCTCCTCTCCCTCCTCTTCCCTCCCTCCCCTCCCCTCCTCTCCTCTCCTCTCCTCTCCTCTCCTCTCCTCTCCTCTCCTCTCCTCTCCCCTCCTCTCCTCCCTCCCCTCCTCCCCTCCTCTCCCCTCCTCTCCTCTCCTCTCCTCCCCTCCTCCCTCCCTCCCCTCCCCTCCCCTCCCCTCCCCTCCTCCTCCTCCTCTCCCTCTCCCTCTCCTCTCCTCTCCTCTCTCTCCTCCTCTCCTCTCCTCTCCTCTCCTCCCTCTCCTCTCTTCCTCTCCTCTCCTCTCCTCTCCTCTCCTCCTCTCCTCTCCTCTTTCTCCTCTCTCCCTAACCTCCCCTCCCCTCCTCTCCTGCCGCTCCCTCTCTCCTCTCCTCCTCCCTCCCTCCCCTCTGTCTCTCCCTCTCTCCCCCTCCTCCTCTCCTTCCCTGGGATGTTGTTTATTTTTGTTCTTGGCCCTGAGCCCAGCTGGGAGTAACAGGAGGGCCCCAACCCTCCCAGCACTGTAATCTAAAGCTGCTTTTCTGAGAGAACATTGAGTTCCTCCCGCCTCGCCTGTTCCCTGCCCCCCCCCCTTTCATTCCTTCCCACAGGCACTTGGGTCACCTGAGGACAAGGTGGAGGCCAATCCCTTGGGGATTTCAAGCTGGGAGCTCAGGGCTCTAGGAGAACAGGGGGTCCCCAATCCCTTTAGCTGTCCCAGAGAGAGTCCTAGTGCCCCCATTGCTCCCCCCCCCAGATTTTGCACATTATCTCCCCTCCTCTTGGTATGAGGCCCCCATGCCCCGCCTGGTTGTCACTGGAACAAGGAGGGGTAGGAACAGGCGGGGAATGGGGGGAAGGGGGAAGGGGGAAGCGGTTTCCTCCTTCCAGGACAAAATGTTCAGTCTGGCTGCTGCTGTTTGAGGGGGAGGGAAAGTCATGCGACCTAGGATGGAAGGGACCTTTGAGATCCCTAGTCTACCCCGCTTTTTTTTTTTTGAATGGAGGAAACGGAGGCCCCAAGAGGGGTGGGGCCTTGCCTGCGTCGCATAGGGAGCAGTGGAGGGCCGGGAGTGGGGAGATCAGCTCCTGGCTCTGCTCACAGTGAACCCTGCCTGCCGTTAGGAAAGTCCCTTTGCGCCTCACTGAAGGGCTTCCAACAGTAACGGCAGAGGGGGCCAGACCAAGGTGCCTTGGTCCACTGCATGCCCTGATACCTCAAAGTCTCTTTTGTTGCTATGGAGAAGGCTCTCCCAAGATGGGAAGAATCGGGATCTTGCGTTTGGAACTCTGAGACCATCTAGTTCCACCCCCTCATTTAATAAATGGGGAAACTGTGGCCAGAGATGTCATGGGGTCATAGCTCTAGAGCCAGAAAGGACCTCTGGGGCCGTTTAGTTGGCTCCTCTCATTTTGCAGAAGGGGAAACTGATGACCCAGGAGGGGAAGGGACTTGCCCAAGGTTATAGAAGTAGAAAGCGGCAGGGCTGAGATTCCACTTCAATCGCACAGCTAACTAGAAAGCGCCAGGCGGGATTTGAACCTGGGTCTGACTGATTTCCAAGTCCTCCACACTAGGATAACTAATAGTGACTCACCTCTGTGCGGTGCTCTAAGGTTGCAGAGGATACGAGCGCCCACACTACACCTCACAGGGTTCTTGTGAGACCCAAACAGATAATGGATGGGATTTCATCAGTATAGGGAGGTCCTGGTGTGGAAATTCCCTCCACAGCCCCTCCTTGTTGATTAAGAATCTTAGAGAATTGCCTGTGGGCCATGAGAAGAGGTTCCCCATCCTAGGAACTTCAGAGGTCAGAAAGCCCAACCCCCTCATTTTACAGAGGGGGATGTTGAGCCTGGGGAGGTAGCAAGACTTACCCAAGGTCACACAGGCAGTAACCATCAGAGGCAGGATTGGATCCCAAGTCGTCTGACTCCAGAACCGATGTCCTTTTCCACTCACTCACATAGCCACCGTGCCGAGCTGCCTCTCTATAAAGGGTGCCTGTAAAATCTTTCCTTTTACAGGTAGGCAGACTAAGGCTCAGAGAGGTTGTGACTTCACTTGAGGTCACACAGTGACCTCAAGTGTCAGAGGCAGGATGAGAACTCAGGTCCTCCTGACACCAGGGCCCTGACTCTTCCCATTCTTCCAACCTTCTGAGTTTCCCTCCATGCCTGAACCTGTTCCTCTCGCCCCACGGTAGACCAGCTCTCGGGTCCCCCCACCCAGTACCTTTGACCTGCAAATGAAGTTTGTGTGTGGCCAATGCTGGAGGAATGGACAGGTGGTGGAGCCCGACAAGGACCTCAAATACTGCAGCGCCAAAGCCCGACACTGGTGAGGAAGGAACGGGGTGGCGGTGGCTGGTGGGATGGGGGAGGCCAGTAGGGAGGGACGCTGGGCTTGCCTTCAGATCATAGGCTTAGGAAACCAGAGAATCATAGATGGAGAGCTGGGAGGGAACTTCTGACTCTAGGGCTAGTCCAACCCCTCATTTTACAGATGAGGAAATTGAGGCCTGAGGAGATTAAAGGACTTGCCCAAAGTCACGTGGGTGGTTACGTGGATTTTGAGTGGGAAGAGACCATTGAGTCTAATCCCTCATTTTGCAGATGAAGAAACTGAGACCCAGAGAGTTTAGGTGACTTGCTCAGGGTCGTGCAACTCCTAAGCATCTGTGGTGGGGTCTGAACCCCCATCCCAGCACACTAGACTACATGGTCTCTCTCAGAGTACTTGCAAGGTTCCAAAGTGCTTCTTCATCTGTTCTCTCATTTGAGCGATGGTGGGGAGACCAGGCAGAGGTCTTCATCATTAGGTTAAAGATGAGGAAACTGAGGCTTGGAAAAATGAAGTAGACAATCTGTGATCCCACAGCTAATTAGCACTTCCCTCCAAGCCAAGGCCTGTCTGCTTCAGGTACAAAGCCCTGCCTTCAAGGGGCTTCCAGAGTGAGTAGAGAAGAACCCACAGATCACAGAGTGGAAGGGTTGAGCTGAAGGGTAACAAGTCACCCTGCCTGATGTACAGGGAGGTGGGAGGAGGAGGGCAAAGCTTGTGAACTGAGAAGAGAAGAATCAGCAGCTTTTCCCATCCCTGGCCAGAAGTGGATGCCAGAAGAGAGAGGAACTGCCATAGCTGGGCTATTTGCTCCCTTCCCCGGACCCATACCCAGTCTGCAGCCTCGTCTATTTCCTCCCTCGTCACTTTTGGCTTCTCTGCTCTGCCCTCCAGCTGGACCAAGGAGCGGCGTGTCCTGCTGGTGATGTCCAAAGTCAAGAGGAAGTGGGTGTCTGTCCGTCCGCTCCCCTCTATCCGCAGCTTCCCTCAACAGTATGATGTGAGTAGACGGGAGGGACAGGGCAACACAGGGGCATGTGTGGTGGGGCGCATTCAGAGCAGGCAGGTCCGGGGCTCTGGTCCATGACTCTGGAAGGCAGAATAACAGCTCCAGTTAACCTGTAGAGAAGGGCAAATGCAAGGGGTGTCATCCCACTTTGTAGCTCAGGAAACTGAGGCTCCAGAAGGAGGAGAGACTTAGGGCTTATGGACAGTTGCACAACTGGTGTCAGGGCGAGGATGTGAGCCTAAACGTTCTCCAGACCTCCTCCTGCCCCCGAGGAAACGTGGAGAGACCTGTGCTTTTCTCAGAAAGGCCCACCCTGGCTGGGATTCAGAATGGCCAGCCTTTTCTGGAGGGTGCAGGCTTGGGAGCATGGGGTCACAGAGCTAGGGCTGGGAGAGGCCCAAGAGGCCATCTAGCCCAAGCCCCTTATTTTACAAATGAGGAAACTGAGGCCCATAGAGGTTAAGTCACTTAGGATTATGGATTTAGAGAAAGAAGGAATCTCGGAGACCATTCTAGTCTAGTCCTCATTTCACCGAGGAAGCTGAGGCCCTGAGATGCCAAGTGACTTAATCGAGTCCGAGGTGATCATTCTACACATGAGCAGACCAAAGCCTTGGGAGAGGCAGTGACTGGCCCAAGGTCACACATGCAGCAGTTATCAGTGGTGGGATGTGAACTCTGGCCCTCTGACCCTAGAGCTCACGTCCCAGTGCGAGCCCAGCTTTGGGCACACTGGTCTCTCCCCCAGCACTGCCTCTCCAAACCCTCCTCCCTCCTTCACGGTCTAACTTGGCTTACCCCTCCGGGAAGTCTTTCCCGACTTTTCCAGCTTATGCTAAGCCTGTTCTTCCCCTTTCTGCCTGCCCCTTCTCACACTCTTCAGGTTAGCCGCTGGTTACTCACCATTTCCCCATTTCCCACCTCCAGGTCTTTGCCCAAACCTGCCCGCAATGCATTCCCTCATTTCTACTTCACAGCATCGTTAGCTCCCTTCAGTGCTTAGCACATGTTCTGTCTCCCCAGCTCCTCATGCCCCCTCAATTACTTTGTGTGTAGCTTTGTTTCATTTTTCTTTGTCTCCCCCAAAAGAATGCAAGGTCTTTGAGGACAGGGCCTGTTTCTTTTTGGGTTTTGTGTTCCGAGTGTCCAGCACAGTGCCGGGCCCAAAGTAGAAATGTCATAGCCATTGGTTAAATTGCATTATGTGACTTTAAACAAGTCACCTGGCTTGTCTCTGGTTGTGCTCCTCTCCTGTGTCACATGAGGGTACTAGAGGTCAGGACCTCCCAGTTCCCTTCCAGCTCTGAGGTCTGTGGCCCCTTCCCTCCTCTCAACTCCCTTATCTGGACCATTCCCTTGACACTTGGTATGTATTGCCTGGTATTGCTTTTCTTCCGCCAAAGCCTTCCTCCTGTGCCTCACTGAGGCATGAGAGTGACTCTGGCTCTTGAAGGCTCTGCTAGCTGAGTATAAGCTCTGGCAGGTTCCACCCTTCTGGACAGGCTTTCTGGATGGATCCCCATAATGGACTGTGTGCTTGTCATTCAAGGCTCATCAGCCATATATAGTGCAGGGGCTGGTGTGTCCAAGGTTCTCAGTGGTGGGAGCCAGGTGGCCCAGGAGGTCGAGCCGCTTTGGGAGCAGGTAGACCTGCCTATATCACACCCCTCCAGGGCCTGGTGGCACTTCTAAGGCCCTGGGCAGCGCTTGGGGACTCATCTATGTTGGGAAAGGGAAGCTACGCATCGGGAGTTCTAGCAGCATCATAGAGCCAGTCCCAGAAGGGGGCAAACGGCAAAGCACTCTGCTGTGACAGCTGGAGATTCTGAGGCAATCACAGGCCCTGGCTTGAAGGGGTTTCTGTTCTGCTGGGGAGATCTAAGATGGCCTCAGAGAATGGAAAACAAACTGTGCAAAGTAGTTCCTAGAGGGAAAAAATGCTCAGAAGTAGGGAGATCAAGAAAGGCCTCGTGTAGGAGGCTCCAGCTGAGCTGTGCCGTGGATTCTGAGAGAGAGAGGGCATTCCGGGCATGGGGGCCAGTGGAAGCAAAGGCCCGGGGGTGGAACTTGGGTGCCGTGTACAGAGAAGAGCTGGGAGGCAGGTCTGATGAGAACAGAGAGTACGTGAGGGGAACACGATGAAATGAGACTGGAAAGGTGGGTGGGAGTCAGACTGTAGAAAGCTTTAGGTGCCAGGCTGCAGATTTGGGATTTTCTCCTGGAGGCGATACGGAGCCATGGAAGATGCGGGGAGGGAGGGTATAGTCCAGCTTCGGACACCTAACTTACACTGGTGAGACAGCAGTGAGGAGGGAAGGCAGGAGCCCAGGGAAGGAGACTGGTACCACCAGAATCCAGCCTGGATTCCCCCCACAGCAGGGCTCTGGCACCTGCTGGGAGGACAGTGTGGACAGCACCTCCGTCATGAGCAGGGGCTCAGTGAGTGGAGGGGGGTGATGCTCAGGGCAGGGGTGACTCACAGGGCCTTCCCCTTGTGCTACAGCTATGCATCCATGCCCAGAATGGCCGGAAGTGTCAGTACGTGGGGAACTGTTCCTTTGCCCACAGCCCAGAGGAGAGAGACATGTGGACTTTCATGAAAGAGAATAAGAGTGAGTGTGTCCATGGTGACTCGGAGGGAGGGAAGGTGGAGGAAGAGGGGAGGGAAGGAAATGGGAGACCTCAACATGGAGCCCAGAGCCAGGATCACCCCAAGGGAAACGGATACCTTTGAGGCAGAACTGACATTCCCCAAAAGGATGTTGTTTCCAACCGATGTTTCCTAAAACAAAGGAAATTAATGGAACTCCTTGTTTGAGGCTCAGCTGTCCTGGATCTGAGCTGGAGGGAGCAGAGGATGTCCCTCCCAGCCTGGTTTTACCCATAATTCTCGTGGCCTGGGCTGTTGTCTGACTCTGGTCCCTCCCGCTCTACTCAAAGAATTGGAAATTACCAAGTTGTCCTTCCCTTTGGCTCCTGCAGGACAGTTTTCAAGTATTCCAAGTCCTGGTGTGTGAAAGAGGGATTAGCTTTGTTTTGCTTGGCCCCAGAGGGCAGAACCAGGCACCTAGGGAAGAAGCTACAAGAAGGCTGGGTTTGGCTCCGTGTCTGAAGGTGGAATGGGCAGCCTTGAGACAGTGAGCTTCTTGTCACTGGAGGCTTCCAACAAAGGGATGACAAGAGAGGGGATTCTGTCTCAGACATGGGTTAGACAAGATGACTCCTGAGGTCCCTGTGAGCCAACCTAGCCCTGCCGCCGGCTTACCGTGGGGGAGATGGGAGGGAGCGGTGCCCATGGTGGGATGCTTGGGACAAGCTGGGTGGCCAGAGGACCTGAGGTCCCGGCATTCAGAATCTTCCCCAGACAGGCCAGCTCCACACTCAACAGTCCAGATGACCGCTGGACTTGTCATCCCCAAGCTACATGCTGTGAGCAGTATTGGGCCAGACCGTGAGAGATGGGGACACCTTTTGGCTGGGGTCAAGCTGCTCGGTGGTCAGGGTCTTGCAAGAGGGCATTGATAGCTGGCACTCCCCAACCAGGGCTGTGTCCCGGGCAGCACCTGTACCTTTTTGCGTCCACCAAAGCGATTAGGCAAGCCTTTGGCAGTGAGGGTATCCACAGCGGTCACTGGGATGGCACTCCAGGGATTTATGGATGGAGGGATGTGACTTCTAGCCCCACATCTTGCCTCTCCCTCTCTCTCCTACCCCTGCCCTTCCCAGTCCTAGACATGCAGCAGACCTATGACATGTGGCTGAAGAAACACAACCCTGGGAAGCCTGGGGAAGGCACACAGGTCACCTCTCGGGAAGGAGAGAAGCAGATCCAGATGCCCACTGACTATGCGGACATCATGGTAATGACGCCTTCCCAGCCCCACTTTACAGCCTTGGTAGCCGTGGCTTACGTGGAGAGCTGGCGTGTTTGACTCGTAGGTGACCCCCAGCCAGGAGGGAACCAGAATGTGTTGGGTAACCCGAGTAGAAGAATCCAGCAAGGTTAACTAGAATGGCGACAATGATAAAGTCCTGTACCTTGGCTTTCCCAAAACAAGAAACAAAAGCCAGTTGTACAAATGCCGAATAGGGGGTATGGGACAAGAGAAAGACTTAACTTCTCAATAACATGGCAGCCCCCCCCAAACCTAATTCAGTGATAGGGCAATGGTCAGAGCAAGAAGCAGGATAGTCCTAATGCCCTCTGGCCCGGGCAGACCACATCTGGATGGAAAGCTAGCCCCTATCCTCTGGATATGGTGAGGAATGTCAAGGTCTTTCCTCATATGAAACAACAGAAGAAACTTACGGTGGTTAGACTGCAAAGAAAGGATTTAGGGCAAGGGAACGCCCTGTGACCCCACCTGCAAATAACCTGCCATTGGCTTTACCTTTATTTCCGGGGGCAGAGCTAGTGGGGAACAGTTACACAGAGCCTTTTTCTGAGAACAGAATTTCCTAAACATTAGAAATGTCCCGCAGTGGAGTGGGCTGTCTTCCAAGGTGATGAGCTCCCCATCTCTAAAGAAATTCCAGCAGAAGCTGGATAGCTGCTACGAGGAGGGGTGTTTTGTGGAGGAGATTCACTCCTTAGGCTTAATGTATTGGGGTTAGACTAGATATCCCTGAGGCCCTTCCCAGCTCTTCAATTTTGTGATTCCTCTCCCCTACCCTATTCCTCTCTCTCTTTTAAAAAAGGTTTCGTTTTCTTGACTTTCCTTTTAAAAACATCATTGTTGTTCCTAATGAGTTCCCCACCTACCCCCCGACATGAAAGTCCTTCCTCGTAACAAATAAATACAGTTAAGAAGAACAAGTCAACACAGTGGCCACATCTGAAAACATACGTCTCATTCCGCACTCGGAATCTACCACCCCTCAATCCCCTGAAGTCACAATTAGTTGTGGCTAGGTCCCAATTAATGCAAATAATGAATCCCTTGAAATGGTCTTCTCTATTCAGATTCACATTATTCAGATTTCTGGTTCTGTAAAACATGGTCATTGGTTCCATTCTAGTGGAAAGGAGCCGGACAAATCCCAGTAACGGGACCGCTTCGTGGGATTCGCCACTAGCCCTAGTTTGACCTAACTGAACTGCATTGATCAGAGCTTTGAAGTCTTTTAATGGCGGTTTCCTTGTCATGGTTGGGGGTGTCATGTGGTGTCCTGCTCTCCTCTCCCCCCACATCTCTCCCATCCCATTACCTGCTTTCTCCCACCAAGGTTACTCTCCACGTAGTTGTTCTGGGTTGGGATGCAACGGGACAAATGCTCTTAGTGGCTGAGCATGGGAGCTGGGGGCTGGGTGAAAGTGTTGGCAGCCAGAGGGCCAGGGTGGTTTTGGGGTGGGGGTGAGCACCTTTGTCACCTCTGCCGTGGGGCCCTCAGGGTGGAGAGGGAGAACTTTCAGGAACTGGCTTGGAGAAGGCTAGGAGGAAAGCAGAGGGGGCCAGCCTGGGGAAGGAGAGCCGCAGAGATGGGCCTTGGAGCCCATGGGAGTGCTCAGAAGGCTTGCCCAGCACCCTCCCCCCCCCCCGCTCCCCACAGATGGGATTCCACTGCTGGCTTTGTGGCAAAAACAGCAACAGTAAGAAGCAGTGGCAGCAGCACATCCAGTCGGAGAAGCACAAAGAGAAGGTCTTCACATCAGATAGCGACTCCACCTGTTGGACCTTCCGCTTCCCCATGGGCGAGTTCCGGCTGTGTGAAAGGTGCCGCTCCTGGAGTGGGTCGGGGGTTGGGGGGCTCCGAGCCCGTTGGGTTCCTCTGGCTCCTAGCTGGCAGCAGATGTCAGGAGGTGGCTGGGGACAAGGCAGGGCCCAGAGGACTTCCCTGAGGACAGCCGGCCCTGACAATGGCATCCCAACTCTGGGGCACACCCTGCTGTCGCTTTAGTACTTTTCCTTCATCCTCATTTTCTCCTGCTCTTCTTTTGCTTCTTCTCTTTCTCCCCCTCCTCCTCAACTTTTTCCTCTCTCTTTTTCCTCTTCCTCTCTTCCTTCATTGAGCACCTACTATGTGCCAGGCATTACGCAAGGCACGGATGATAGGAGACAAAAACAGAACAATCCCTGCCCTCAGGGAGCTTCCGTTCTCTAGAGGGAAGGACAAATGCACAATCACCCTGTGATATAGGTAGGCGGTGCAAGTCTTATGGACTCCTCTCTCTTTGAAGTACTGTACGAGAAACTGAGGCTCAGAGAAATTCAGGGATTTGTGTGTGATCATGCAACTAGTAACTGTGTGACCCTGGCAAGTCACCGGCCTTCTCTGGGCCCTGGGTCCCTCATATCTGGAAAAGGAGAGGGCTGGAGGTGGGGCCCTTCCGGTGCTCAATCCTACAGTCCTCTTAAGTGTAGGACTCCTGGCCCGAAGGCTAATGCCCTTTCTTCTATACAACCTCAGCTCTCTAGTCAATTCAACAAGCATCATTAAGCTCTTACTGTGTGTTAGGATAGCTAGATGGCACAGTGGATAGAGTACTGGGCCTGGAGTCAGGAAGACCTGAGTTCAAATCTAGCCTCCAACACTTACTAGTTGTGTGACCCTGGCACGCTTACCCCTGTTTACCTCAGTTTCCTCATCTGTGAAATGAGCTGGAGAAGGAAATGGCCAACCACTCCAGTTTTCTTTACCAAGGAAACCCCACGTGGGGTCACGAAGAGTCGGACACAACTGAAATGACTCAACAACAAAAGTGTGCTAGGCACTAGAGATACAAAGACAAGGAAACAATCCCTGCCCTCAAGGAACTTCTATTCTACCGGGCCCTTCTGGCTCCCCCCTCCACTGAAGTGTGGCCTCATGGAGTAGAGGTGACCTGGGGCTCTCGAGGGCTATGGAAAGGCTCCATGCAGAGATGGCCATTGGCCACCGATTAATGATTTCTCTCAGCCACAGCAACTCAAAAGAGCCATCCCCAGAGGCGCAGGGAAGCCAAGACATATGTCAGAGCAGGGTGCAGCAGCACCTGCCTCTTGAAGTGTGAAGTTCATGTTTACAAAACACTTTCCCTCCTTCATCTTACCACACCTTCCCAACAGCCCTGTGAGGTAGGCAGGGCAGGTGCATTCCTCCCTATTTGACAGCTGGAGAAACTGAGACTCAAAGATGGCACGTGACCAGTCCAAGGTCACCCCACTAGTGAGTGTGCCAGCCAGAAGTGGAGTCCAGCTCTCCTGCCACCTTATCCAATGCCCTTCTCCCTCTACAACTTTGCTGGAGCTCTCACCTCCGGGCCTGTTGAAGCTTTGGGGTAATGAGAAGTCACAGCTGTTACTGCAGCCACGGAGCAATCCTGAAGGCCGGCCAGCTGATCTGAGGAGTAGGAAGGCAGCGGCTGTGGCCAGGAAGACTCCCAAGGAGGGCACCAGCTTCTCTCTTTCTCTGAGGCAGCTGATAACGAGCCTGCAAAGGCATAACGTGCCTGAACTTGGGGACTGGTGTGTCTGAACTGGTCCTCATGCCACAGAGCCAAGTGTACTGTCAGGAAGGAAAGCGAGAAAGGGGTTAGGTGGGTGCAATGGGGCGTCCAGTTCCCTGGATTGCTTTCCTTGGGTGGCTCTTCCCAATGATACATTTGTCCCTGGGTACAGTCTCCCGCAGAAGATCCTGTTGCAAGCTGCTGGAAGTCTTAGGGTACAGCAGACTTCACCCAAGGGTTGCTCAATGAGGCCTCAGTTTTCTCATCTGTGAACGGGAAGGGGGAGGGCTGAACCAAACGGCTTCTGAGGGACCTTCTGTCTCCAGATTTATGAACCTTTGATCTTTGACGATTTCGGAGTCCTTCCTTATTCTTGGGTGGGCTGATGCTGGAGGCTGAGCGGCCTGGGCAGTCCATGGGCCCCAGAGGGACAGCACTGAGTTTCTCATCCTCCCTGCTTCCACCCCCACATAGGTTCCAGAAAAAAAAGGCTTGCCCAGATGGGGAGAAGTGTCGCTGTGCCCACGGGCAGGAGGAGCTGACTGAGTGGCTGGATCGGCGGGAGGTGCTGAAACAGAAGTTGGCCAAGGCTCGCAAGGATATGCTGCTCTGCCCAATGGATGACGACTTTGGCAAATACAACTTCCTATTGCAAGACAACGTATAGGGGGCCCCGGGGACGGGACTCTGGGGGTGGGACTTAGGGAATGAGAAGAAAGATGGGAGGATGAGATGAGATTCCCATGGCCTCCGCAGCAGCATCTTTGGGTCCCCTCTCTGTTAGCCATCCCTGCTGCAGGGGCCAAAGGGCAGGACGTCCTCAGCTCTTTGGCTCCCTGTGACTGGCGTGGCTTTCTTCCTTGTTCTCAGATGGGTGTCAGAAAAGCCAGGCTGGGGAAAGTGGAGGGGATGGAGGAGGACTTGGGAAGTAGATCTCTGGACAAACCTTTTCTCTCCCTGCATCTCTATAGCACGCCCACACACTTGGGGTCCCACTTCATTCCCCGCTGTGTGGGGCAGGAGTACACCCACATACGTGCACATAATCAGAATAATAATGATGACGATGATAACAATAGCTCACATTTCTATAGTGTTTTCTCACAATGACCCTGGGAGGTAGATAGCTCAAGTATTATCACCCCCATCTTACAGATGGGGAAACTGAGATTCAGAGAGGACAAAGTGGCTTGACCACAGTTACATGGCCAGTCAGTGTTTGGAGACAAGAGGGAACACACACACACACACACACACACACACACACACACACACCACTGCTCAGATCAGTTAGACATGTCCCAGGTCATTATTGTCATCCTGTGGTATTAGATAGATCTATTGTCTCCCAGAGTAGGGTGGAACAGGACAGACAGATGCTGTCTGGTGGCTTCAACCCAAAGTTTTGTGTTTTGTTTCCAAAAACCTGTGGTCACTGGCATCAGGGATCCCCCAGGGTTATCCTCTTGGGGGGTTGGCTGAATTGGTTTTTTCCCCGTTACTCTGGGCTCCTGATATCAGCCCTTCTCTCTGGGATGCAGGAGATGGGGACAGGGACACAGTCTTCCCCAGGGCACAGCTGGAGACCTCAAAGAGCACAGATACCCCATTTAGCTTTAAACCCTAAACTTCCTTAATGATCCACATGGTGGAGCTCAGTATTCCCTTCAGTGTCACTCCCCAGCTGCCAAAGGAGACCAGTTCTCTGGTCTTTCCCTCAGCCCTTTGTCCTTTTGGCTGGAGACACCCTTCACACCTTCTTGTAGCTCTGTTTCCCTTCTGTGCCCTACCTGGGATCCACACAGCTGTGGAACTTATGGGTCTTGCAGGCCCTGATCTTAACCTGACTCTCTTGTCCTGTCTCTCTCCCTTCAGTGATCCAAGAGAAAAGTGGCAGATGAAGCATGGGGCAGGATGGGTGGGCGGTGATCCCAATCCAGGACATGTTAGGGGATCCCTCCAGAGAAAGGACCATCCATGTTGAACCTGGATTCTCCAGGTCCAGTAATCCCTGTACCAGATCCCAAACAGCCCACCAGCACCCCTAGATTATCAGCTGGGCCTGGTTTAGGGAAGTGAGGGAGGAAGGAGTGGAGATGGGAAGCCAGCCGAGGGCAGGCTTGTCCTCAGCAGCTCTTTCTTCCCAGGACATCTCCTTCCTAACCAGGGACAGCTTTGTCCAGAGAGTTCAATTAGATTTCAGTGGATATAGAATGGGAAGATAGACTGAAGTGGGAGGGAAGGGTGCTACTTATACTAAAGCCAATGGAGCTAAAAGTCTGAGTAACTCTTAGGCATGCCCCTTCCATTCCTGCACCTCACCCACAACTCTGATATTGATTAGGAATAGGGACCCTGCTGAGCATAAATCAGGGGGCACTACTCCTGCTACCCTCCTGGGTCACTTCTGACAGAAATAGCTCCGGTTTCTCTAGCTCCGTCAAAATCTATGAAGTGCTCCCAATGAGGGAAGTAGGCCATTTCACAGAGGAGAAAACTGAGGCTCAGAGAGGAGGAGTCACTTTCACCTGATCACACAGCTAGCAAACATGAAAGCTGGAACTCAGACCTGGGACTTTCCACTTTGGGCCCACAGGCACCTCTGCTACCATCCTGGGGACCATGGACTGCAGCACCAGGACCTAGGGAGAATGCTGCTCCCCAAACCCCCTGGGTTCTGAATCCAGCTCTTCCAAACTTGCTGTGGGACCTTAAATGAGTCACTTCACTGCTCTGGGCCTCAGTTTCCTCATCTGTAAACATGGGGGACCAGATGGTTTCTCAGGTCCCTTCCTGCTTTAAATCTATGATTCTGTGGTCCTAAGTAATTTCCCCTTTCTGGCCGTCAGTTTCCTCATCTCTAAAGTGAGAGGGGCTGAAATAGATGACTTCTGAGGTCCCTTCCAGCTCTACATCTATGATCCTATAGTCTGAGGTCCCTTCCCTTTTCTGGACCTCAGTTTCTCATCTGTAAAATAAGGGGCTGAACTAGGTAGCCTTTCACATCCCTTTGAGCTCTAAAACTATGGTCTTTCTGGCCAAGGGGAACTGCCCCCCCCATTGAAGTAGTGCACAAGGTCACCTAGTTTGTACCTACTCCCCTAATTTGACATACCCTGGGTTCAGAATGGATAGGGGGAAGGCTTCACCCAACTGTTCTGGTCCCATCCCCCACCTTAGTCCACCAGACTTCCCACTTCTTCACCTTTTATCTGACACCTCAAAATAGCATTTTTCTGTGCCCACCTCCCCCCAACCTTGTCCACCCCTGCCAGATTCAGGCATTGGTCCCCCAGACATTCCAAAAAGCCCCATACCACTGGATTGGGACCTTAGGCTTGGGGGCAAGGCATGGGGGGAGAGGAGGAAGGGCAGACTTTCTCTTCTTATCTCAAGTCTGTGTGGAAGTGTATGGCTCATGGGATACCTTTGTTCCTTAGGCCTCTCAGAAGGCAATGTTGATGACATAGAAACTGGAGCGGGTAGGGTCTTCCCTCTACCACCCACTCTTGGGACCCCCACCCTTTATTCTATGATCATGGCATGCACCCTGTCCTGTCCCCCTCCTCCCAGTGAACCAGGATGATGGAGCCTGGGGAGGAGAGAGGAATTAAAGGGTATTTGATTTGGGGGTCCACGGGGAGGGATTGCTGTGAACGTAGATACTTGTTTTCCCTGATATGATAACCTGACATGTGGTATTACTGTCTCTTGTCACCAGCCTTGTTTCCCTGTGTATATATGTCGGCCCCGTGATGCATATATACACAGGTATTAAATATATCACTCTATATAATATTATATATGTGTGTGGTATCCAAGGAATTGCTTGTAAGGAAGGTGAAGGATAAAGGATTTGGCTGGGAAATGCAGCAGGAGCCCTGGGTTTGACTTGGCTTCCCTAGCTGGGAGCAGGGTGAGTGGGGGCTGCTGCCCTTCACCTCAGATCAGCAAGGTGCCTGATGGTATATAGGAAGGTAGCATTGGAGGACATTGAACAAGAGAGACGTGGGTGGCAATGCCTGGCTCTGTCCAGCGTCTTCCTTCCCCACCCAGCTTGACGGAGGCAGAAAGAGCGGGCTCAGTGGAGAAACTGTGTTCTTAGCCAGAGGGGCAGGGCCCAGGTTAACTAGGGCTGCCAAACTTCCAAAACCTGTAGGTCCAACTCTGCCTGTCCAATCCAGAGAAGCTGTCCATGGGAGCTGTAGGGAGGGGCCCAGGTTGGGAGGCAGAGGATTCGAATTTGAATGCTGTCTCAACCATTTCTTATACGTGGCTAATAGCACAACCTCCCTGGGCCACTTTTCTTGGCTATTAGATGGAGGCTTGGCCTAGATGGTCTCTGAGGTGTCTCCCAGCTCTAGACCTACAATCGTGCATGGAGAAGAAAAGAAAATGGAGCTGAAGGAGGCCATGTCCTCCTGGGGCCAGGGAGGCCTCTTCCCTAGGGCGGGCTTCTGTGCCCCCCTGGAAAGCAGGTGGATGCACATCCGAGAGAAGAGATTGGAGAAGAAGGGGCTCTAAAGGGAGAAGAATAAGCGGGTAATTTGGAGGATGATGGAAAGGACTGCAGTGGTCTTCAGATTTAGACTCAAAATCCAAGCTCAGAGTTGGGACCAAAGCTGCCAGGCTGCTCATGGACAGGCGAGGATGAGACCAAGGGGAGACGCATGTATACATATATGTGTGTACATATAACTGCACGCATATATGTATATGTACATGCACACGTGTGTGTGGTCACACCCCCTGCCCCCTGCACGGACTGTGGGGGGAACGTGTCAGAAATGAAGGAAGAAGGGGGGGAATGTTGCATTTCACAGCCAGGTAATGATGGGGTGAATAGTCCTTTAAAATGTCTGTGTATTAAACATTTTAAGAATACCACACTTTAATATTAAATATTCATAAGGCCCTAGTATCTGGATAATATGGTAGATGTTTTAATAACAATTTTTTGGTCCTTCTTAAAAATAAAACAGACAAAACTTGCATCTTTTGGCCTTTGTACTAGAAAATAAAAGTGCACTTGAACCCTGGTCCCCGCAGTGTGTTTGTGTGCCCCATAGCACAGGATGCCCTGAGGTCACAGTCTGAGTGCTGAGTCCCTCTGAGGCCCCCCTCCTCGCCCAGCTTGGCCACCTCTCGGGGGCAGAGACGGGTCAAGGATGGTCCCTCCCAGGGCAAAGGGCCCAGGCCGAGGAACACAGCAAACACGGCCAAGCTCTGCCGAGGTTCATCGGTGTGGGCGCTCAACAAACATTTCAGCGGCCCTGTATAAAGCCCCTACTGTGTGCCAGGCCTTGAGCTAGGCACCAGGGATGATTCACTACACAGGACCGTGGTTAGAAGGGAACTCCAAGGGCATCTTGTCCCACCCAACACTTGAATACCAATCCCCTCTACTGCCTCCTGAAGAGTGGGCACCCAATCTCTGCGTGAAGCTCTCCAGTGATGGGGAACTCACTACCCACTGAGGCATCCTGTTCTACTTTGGGAAGTTCTCCTTGACATTCCATTGAGTGTGAGCCTCTTGCCACACTGCTCCCAGTTCTCCCCCTGGGGCCAAGAACAAAACTTCCCCTCTTCCATGTGGCAGCCTTTGAGGACTGGAAGATACCAATCCCGTGCTCCTCAAATCTTCTCTTCTCTAGGCTCAATATTCTCATTTCCTCCTCGTTATTCTCATGGGGGGGGTGGCATAGGACCTCCAGTGCCCTTGCCACCCTGGCTGACCACTGCCTGCCGCACTCCACCTGCTTGTCGTCCAGCCTAAAATGTGGGTCCTCTACTGCAGATGGCCTTTTACAAGGACCTTCTCTCTCTTGCTGATGCTGCCCCAGGTCCTGGTTTGTCTGGCTGCTTTGCCATCCCATAGACACACATGAAGCTTTCAGAGACTTTAGCGGGTCCTGCTGACGTGGAAGCTTTTCCCCGTGAGTGCATGTGGACGTCCAACCACCCCCTGCAAATGTCCTTCCACTATTTCTTCATAGGAAAGCCCCCCCAAATGGCGGGAGGCTTTACAAGAATGTAAGCACCTACTGGGCACCAGGCACTTGGCTAGACACCAGAGAT